GCTGATCTGAGCACCCCCACCCGTTCCTTGCCATGAGGTTTCCCCAGCATGATAGGTTTCCTGATCAAACTGTACAGGAGACAAATTGTTCAGGGAGGTGACATAGTCTGCAGGCAAGACAGAACCTGAACACAGAACTGACATTCACTGCCTCTGTCATATTCTATTAGTTAAAAGCAAGTCACTTTCACTCAAGGAATACCTGGAGGTGGGGTCATTGGGGGTCATCTTAGAAGGCTGCCTGCCCCTCACAGGAAGTCACTGGAGGTGTCTAGGCAGGGATGTGACTTGGTCTGATGCGTATTTTCAAAGGGTCACTTTAGCCGGGCGTGGTGGCTCACGCCTGTAATCCTAGCACTTTGGGAGGCCGAGGTGGGTGGATCACCTGAGGTGAGGAGTTCAAAGGGTCACTTTGGCTTCCTTAAATATTGGGAGTGTGGGTGGGGGATGGGCAGGAGTGGAAGCCAGCTGGCCAGCCAGGAGCTGCTATAAAAGATGATGCTGTGGCTGGGTGCGGTGGCTCAGGCCTGTAATCTCAGCACTTTGGAAGGCCGAGGCGGGCGGATCATGAGGTCAGGAGTTTGAGAGCAGCCTGGCTAACAAGGTAAAACACCATGTCTACTAAAAAATACAAAAATTAGCCAAGTGTGGTGGAGCGCACCCATAGTCCCAGCTACTCAGGAGGCTGAGGCAGGAGAATCGCTGGAACCCGGGAGGTGGAGGTTGCAGTGAGCCAAGATCGCACCACTGCACTCCAGTCTGGGCGACAGAGCAAGACTCTGTCTCAAAAAAAAAAAAAAAAAAAAAAAAAAAAAAAAAAGAGATGCCGCTGGTTAGGGTTGAGGAGGTAGTGGTGGAAGTGGTGGAAATGCAGACAAGTAGAACCAAGGGGGTTTGCCAGTGGATCCAGAGAGGGTCACGTAATAAGGAAGTGGGGATGACTTCCAGGCTTGCAACTCCCACCTGTGGGAGGATGGTGCTTTGGATTCTCGTTTTTCTCCTGAGACAGACAGGGTGAAACTCTCCCCACCCTCCTCCAGCCCTACCCAAGGTCGCACATTTGTTGGATGGCTGGCCAGCATGAGGAGCCCCATCCGTGAGCAGAGAGCAGATGTCTCCTTGAGCCAGGCTGAGGGACTGACCCTGTGTCCTCGGTCTCATTAGCCTGCCCACACTCAGACCAACCAAGCCAGCGGGCCAGAGGGAGGGAAGCCACTCTCCTATAACTGTGATCACAGAGTCAGCCGGAGCTGGAGAGGGCTCAGGGGTGTGTGTGTCTTCGGTGGGCTATACGTGGGGTAGGGAGAGGTTCAGGGCAGGGACAGTCACTGCAACTGACCCTAGAATGCTAGGGCATCACTAGTAAATATATTCTAGAGAAACAAACACATAAGTTTTTTTTTTTTTTTTTTTTTTTTTTTTGAGACGGAGTTTCACTCTTGTTACCCAGGCTGGAGTGCAATGGCGCGATCTCGGCTCACCGCAACCTCCACCTCCTGGGTTCAGGCAATTCTCCTGCCTCAGCCTCCTGAGTAGCTGGGATTACAGGCATGCACCACCATGCCCAGCTGATTTTTTGTATTTTTAGTAGAGACGGGGTTTCACCATGTTGACCAGGATGGTCTCGATCTCTTGACCTCGTGATCCACCCGCCTCGGCCTCCCAAAGTGCTAGGATTACAGGCGTTAGCCACCGCGCCCAGCCCACATAAGTTCTTTACCTGAAGAATATCCTTCTACATGAAAGCTTTATTTGCTCCATGTGGAAAGAGAAATAGATCATCACGCAGTTACCATTTATTGTGCCTCCACTATGTGTCAGTCTCACTGCGAAGCCTTCGACAAACACTTCATTCCATCCCCATAACGACCCAGTGAAGTAGAAATTTGTATCATCCCATTTCTCAGATGGGAAAACTGAGGCTGAGAAAAGTTATTTGCCCAAGATCTGTCTAACTTCATACCCACGTTCCCAACTACTACCAGCACCCTGGCTCCCATTTAGCTTGGAGGAAGATTCATTTCCTGCTTCCAGAGGTGAAACTGGAGGCGGGAGTTTTAAAAATGTGGGTCCAGCCTTGCTCCAGAGGGTAAACCGCGTTGAGAGAAACACTCCGTTTCGAGCAGTGCAGACAGCAGGTGGTGCTCCCTAGCAGTGGTAGCTAGAAAGGGTAGCGGCAGTGGGACCGGAACACGGAGTTGCAGTTGCTTGGGTTCAGGCAGTTAACGGGCTGGTGACAAAGACACAGCGGTGTCTGTCGAGCAGGGAGCTCCTTCCATTGATGCAGGCTGCCCCAAGTAAAGGGCCAGAGCGTGTCTCCTTTCCTGGGGCCGTGGGATGTCCTCACGCTCCCTGCTTAAGCCAGCCAGGTGCTGATTAGAGGTGAAACATACCAGTAATGTGAATGACATCACCAAACACCAGCCATATTCTTATCATTCCAACCTAGCATTTGCACCTAAATTCAGCTTCTGCACATACAATACTGGCAGCATCTTGTTTACAATTTAAGGCATAGGATTTTGGCTAATTTAGATGTCAGTCTGGTGACCAAAGGGGGATATTCTTATTATTGAATTTTTCTTGCTTACAGTGACCAGGCATCGCATGGTGGGTTTCCTGGGGACCAACTGCACATAGCTTCCCAAGGCGCAACCTCACTGGGAATCAGACAAGGATGGAGAGTGAGACACAACGTGCTCTGTAGCTCGGAGAGCACAGGAGGAGTGAGGATTCCGCTGGGGGTGGGGGTGGGGAAAGGCATGACATCAGGTTTTTAAATCATAGGGATACCTTGGGTATTTGCCACACTCCTGCTTTGAGACTCTTGAATAGGAATTACAAAGTGTGCTGACTCTGTGAATACATACAGAACCAGAGCTGACAAGTGGAATCTCTCAAAGTTCCTCCCTGATACCTGCAATGTTTGTTACCTGCAATGTTTGCCCTCAAGGGTAAGAGATTCCCTTCCTGGGGAGGGGGCTGAGGGGTGAGTTAGTGAGTGGCGCAGGTGGGGATTCAGAATGCCTGTGTTCTATTTCCAGCGCCTATCACTGACTCATATTGTGACCTTGCTGAGGTCATGGCTCTGTTTTATTTGTTGGGGCAGCGGGGGGGGGATTAGAGGTGGCAAATTTGCTTTTCCCCAGGGGATGGTAGTTCTGGAATATGAGACACCTACCTGCTCTCCACAAACCCCAACAGTGTCTAGTTCTGCTGATATTAATGAAAAGAATGCTTACATTTGGATCCAAGGAACTTAGGGGGACACTCGAAGAAACAAGTCATTCCTGCCATAGCAAGATTTGTGGTCACTTTTTTTTTTTTTTTTTTTACAGAATCTTGCCCTGTCACCAAGCTGGAGTGCAGTGGCGAGATCTCGGCTCACGGGAACCTCCACCTCCCGGGTTCAAGTGATTCCCCTGCCTCAGCCTCCCAGGTGGGACTACAGGCATGCACCACCACACCGGGCTAATTTTTTGTATTTTAGTAGAGACAGGGCTTCACCATGTTGGTCAGGATGGTCTCGATCTCCTGATTTTGTGATCTGCCCACTTCAGCCTCCCAGCGTGTTGTGATTACAGGCGTGAGCCACCTCGTCCAGCTGTGGCCACTTTTATCTGCAATATTTCTCAGAAGAAAGATCTTTTAAATCACATTCCCATATTAATAATTTCCCATGTGGCCCTCACGTTGTCTGTGGGAAGGAAGAAGAAAGATAGTTTTTCCTTAGTTTCAGGATGAGGAAATCGAGGCTAGGAGTGGTATTTCTCAACAGGTTTGTTACCAAGAGCCCCTCTTGATATTTTACTGTCATGAATTCCCCTGTTTTGCAAGGGGAATGTCAACTACATATTTGCATTTATTAAGTAGAAATTCATCTCTGTTTTCCTTAAAGTCACCTATGAATGCCAGCTCAGGTTTCTGTTCTGCTCAAAACAACTAGTGCTACCATCAAGTTCACTGCCAAGAGTTGCAGTATTTAATCCGGGTGACCTCCTCAAAGATAAAGGCCTCATTTTCACGGGACTTTAAAAAGACCTCTTTGTAGTATCTGGGGACCCAGGCTGAGAATTCCTCAGAGAGATCAAGCAGCTTATGAAAGATTCTGTGGCCAGTGCCGGGGCCAGGACCAGACCCGGGGTCTTGGCTCATAGGCCAGTGCTCCAGCCAGACTACTTGACAGGGAGGGCTTGCGTGTACACTCAGGCATACAGACACATGGGCGTGCACGTGCAAACTGGCAGCCCAACCAAACGCAGGTGTCATGAAACAATGATGCTGAGTGCTCAAACCAGTAGTAAGTTCCCCTCAGTACAGGAGGGAGCAGCCGGAACAAAGCAGAGATTGGCAGGGTGCAACGGATCGCTCCAGGCTGCTTTTGCAGAGTTGCAAGGGTGGGAGATGTGTTTACTCTGCCACCTGCCTGCACTTTGTGACTCTTCAATAATGTATGCACCATGCATGTAGGCAGAAGCATTTTCATCCACTCTGGGAGCATTCAGACCGCTCCCCGAGGCACCTGCCTCTTCAAGAGCATGAGATGGGAGTGGAGGAGCTGAGCCCTTGACGCTGGGGATGGCAATGGCAAATTGGGTACCCTGGGAGAGCGGAGACAGAGAACTCTGAGAACTCGGGGAGGTCTTGCTTGGCCTGGAGTGTAAGTAGGGGAAGAGCTGCAGGACTCCAGGTGCCTCAAAGCTTCCCCCTAGGTCTCTCCCCCACCCCCTCCCCAGGGCTCCTGCAAATATACTCATCTGTTGAGCCCTTGGCTCCATCCCAGAGGATCAGTTTTTTCATCCCATGGCTCAGAGGCATCAAGTCTGCCTGTACTTTTGGAAGAAGGCCGAGGGCTTAGCTTTATGGCTTCAGAATCCGAGGCTCCAATCCCCAGCAGGGCCAGGGGCCAGGGCAGGGTCTCTGGGGGCCTCCTGGCCAACAGCTGTTCTCTGGGTTATTTTGGTCTAGTGGGAGTCTGTCAATTCCAGGGCATTTGGACCGAAATAGCCAACAGCAGCACAATCTCTTGGTAGCATTGTGGGGACCCCTCCCCATACAGAAGTTTCCAAAATGGGGTGGGACAGAAGGAAAGGAGCTTGGCATGGGGGTGGTGAAGAGGGAATTTTCCTGCCTGTATCGGAGGCTGACATCAGCAGTTCCTCACTGTCCCTTCATTCAGCCTTGGCAGGTACCTGACCACCTCCCCAGGCCATCCAAGGTGTGGGTTTGAGTGGGAGAGAGGAAAAGATAATTTTTGAACTTTGTTTTTAACTTCTTGGTCCTCCCCTAAAGCCGGTAAGATATATATTACCCTTTCCCATTTCACAAATGGGGCTACCAGGTCCAGAGAGGCAGAGGCACTGGTCTGAGGCCACACAGCTTGGAACCCAGGTCTGGTGACCCCAGGCTTCAGTGCCTCAGCAGCTGGACCTCTGGTCAGACCGGCAGCTGATCCTTGCGTGGATGCCAGTTCTATCCAGAAGTTCGGGGCCAGCACGGAAAGTGCTGACTGGCCCTGGCCTTCCTTCGGGCCACAGCAGGGGCCCTGGCAGCCACCTGCCTGGCTCACTCTCCGGCCTAAGACCGTTAAAGTGCAGGTGGGGGGAGGGAAGAGGGAAGACCGGCCACTCTCTCCCCTTGGAACCCCGTCCGAATTCAGACCAGCAGCCCCTGGCGAGGCCCCCGAGAGCCTGCGAGGATTGCCCCCCCCCCCCGCCCAGAGCAGAGCCAGAGTGCCCCAGTTCTCACTCCCGCTGGCTACACGGGGTGGCGTGCAGGGAGCGTGCTTTGGCACCAGGCGGGTGCGGGAGGCAGGGCGCACGCCCGGGACACGCCTTACGGAAACCGCCTCTGGGCTCGGTAACTGAACTTAGACGTCGAGTGCAGCCGGCCCAGTGCGCGCCGCGTCTTACCACCCAGTCTTGGAAATCAGCTGCCAGGGTGGGGCCGCGTTTTGGCCACGGCCACTAGGCCACCCCTACCGCTCCTGCCTCTCCCAAGAGATTTTTCTAGCGGGTTAATTTCCTGTCTGGGTAAATCCTTTGGTGAGTCCCTCGCCCCTCCCTCCCCTCCCTCCCCTCCCTCCCCTCCCCATCCCTGCTGTCCCGGCTCCCCCAGTCGGTCCGCGCTGCGCTCCGTCGCCCCCGCGCGCCCGGGCGCACGCCCTCCCCGCCCCGGCCGCCCTCCGGCTCCCCGCGCCCGGCAGCCAGTGCCTCGCCGCGCCGCGCCGCCCCGCGCCAGGGCTCGTTCCCAGAGCCGCGTCCGTGTCGCCGCGGCCCGCGCGGACCCCCCGGCCATGCGCCCCCGCGCCGCCCCCCGCGCTCCAGCCTGCGCCGCCGCGGCGCTCCGGCTCTGCAGCCTCCTGCTGCTGCTCGCGCCCGGGCACGCGTGCCCCGCGGGCTGCGCCTGCACCGACCCGCACACCGTGGACTGCCGCGACCGCGGGCTGCCCAGCGTGCCCGACCCCTTCCCCCTGGACGTACGCAAGCTGCTTGTGGCCGGCAACCGCATCCAGCGGATTCCCGAGGACTTCTTCATCTTCTACGGCGACCTGGTCTACCTGGACTTCAGGAACAACTCGCTGGGCTCGCTGGAGGAGGGCACGTTCAGCGGCTCGGCCAAGCTCGTGTTCCTCGACCTCAGTTACAACAACCTGACCCAGCTGGGCGCCGGCGCCTTCCGCTCTGCCGGGAGGCTGGTGAAGCTTAGCCTGGCTAACAACAACCTGGCGGGCGTGCACGAGGCCGCCTTCGAGACCCTGGAGTCGCTGCAGGTGCTGGAGCTCAACGACAACAACCTGCGCAGCCTCAGCGTGGCTGCCCTGGCCGCCCTGCCCGCGCTGCGCTCCCTGCGTCTGGACGGGAACCCCTGGATCTGCGACTGTGACTTCGCCCACCTCTTCTCCTGGATCCAGGAGAACGCATCCAAACTGCCCAAAGGTGAGCCGGGCCGGCTGGGGGAAGGAGGGGGCAGGGAGAGGCCACCCCAGACCCCAGTCTGGGTGCGAGGAACCTTGAGTTGAGTTTGGAAGAGGCTTGGGAGCTCCTCAAGTTTTCCTGAGAATCTGCTGGGGAAGTGGGTGGGGAGGGACACATCTGGGACTCTTTGGAGTTTCTGGGCCCTGAGGCTGAACTTCTTCCCCTGTTTCTCCAATAACTCACTTTCTCAAGTTAGCAACCTTCCCGTTCAGGGGATGCCCAGGATCACCTCCCTGGTCCTAGAACTGGCAGGTGTGGATTACTTATGGGCCCTGGCAAGCTGAACGCAGCCTTCTGTATGGGAAACAGCCCTATTCTCAGTACCGTGCCTGGGGAGTCAGCCAGTTCCACGGGCTCTCCAGCAGCCTGTCCAGCCTAACCTGGCCTCTCAGCTTCTCAGCTCCAATTTGCTCTTCTGTCTAATATGAGTGAGGAAGATTTCTGATGAGGAATAATGGCAGCCTATTAAGAGCCAGTGATGCAGTCATGATTTGTAGTTCTCTGTGGCTTTTCAGCCAGATGTGAAAAAGCTGAACCACATTGTAGTGAGCTGGTGCCTTCTTTGCTTTCCTGGTGCACCCTTCCAATGGCGGCGTGAGCAAACGTACCCACTTGGCAGACAGGAACACCAGGGCACAGGGAGCCAAGGGGCCCCATTAAGGCCCGCAGGAAGGGGACGGGTAGAGCTGAGAAGGAGGGGACCCCAGCATCCACAGGGATGAGCACCCAGAGTGGGGGGCAGGTGGGTGTCCTTCCCCCAGGTGGATTCCAGCCTTCTGCTTGTCAGCCTGTGAGCATCGGTGCCCACAGTGACCTCTCAGAGCTGAACTCTGCCTCCTACCTTATTCCCAAGATTTCAGCAGGATTGGAACCACAGCTGCAAGGCACGCATCATCAAAGGTGACAAACATGCAGATTTAGCTTCAGAATATCTTTTTTTTTTTTTTTTTCCCATTTACGGAGACATCAAGGATGCTGTTCATCTGCATGCTGAACTCCTCCATCCATATCTTCATTCCCGACTGTCATCGAACACCCTCCATGCACCAGGGCACCCACTCCTGGGCAGATGCAGGCCCCTGGGCCAGCACTTTCAGTCCAGGCTGCCTGACATTCCTTAAACGATCTGGCTGGCAAGGTGCAGAGTCCCCATCTTTAAAACTTTGTCCTCTTCCACTTGCCTGGCTCCCCAGACCCTCCCACCATTAGACTCGGTCCTGGAGACAGGAGTGACCGGATGCAGAGCTCATTGTGTGGTGGGGGATACCTCGGTTCTGCCTGCTCCTGCCTTTGCTCTTTAGTGGAGTTGGCATCATTCACCCCTGTTGTTGGTTGGGTTGGTGTAATTGGCTCCTGTTGTCTTCCACGTGAAGGCTAGGTGTGGTGAAGTCAGGAGCTGTGGGTTTATCTCAGTTCTGCCATGGTGGCTATGACCTTGAACAGGCCACTGGTCCCGTCTGAGCCTCAGTTTCCTCATGTCTGGAATACTAGAGTTGACCTCTGTGATCTCCAAAGAGCCCTGGATTTGGAGTCTGAAGACATGTTCAGTCCTGGCCTAAAATCTGGGGGACCCTGGGTGGGTCGCTTCACTCTTTTAAGCTTCACCTTCCCCTCGAGTGAAATCAGGACACAGGTGATGCTGTGTAGTCCATCCACCCAGTAGTTGCTGGGATCCAAGCAAGGTGATACAAGAGCAATGGAAGTGAAATGTTTCTCCTCTTGCTGTGATGTGGGGAAGAAATGGACACAGATGGGAAAGACTGGAGGAAGGATGGACAGATTCAGAGCGAGGAGCCATGTCCAGGGCCCTGGGGACAGGGCTTAGAGGGTGTGGCTTTGTCTCAGCCAGGAGGGAGAGGATGGACACAGCTCCAGGGCACCTCGCAGGGTACAGTGCCATGAGCAGCTCTGGTCTCATTGCCACTGTCCACGCTGTGTGGCCTGAGAGTGTCTCCTAAACTGTGAGCCAGATGCAAGGTGGGTGGTAGAGGTCCCAGCACATACCTTAAAGTGAGACCCACATTCAGATTTGGACTCAGGTTTATAATCCTAGGCAAGTCCCTGACCTCTCCACGCCTCAGTTTCCCTGCATCTGGATTCAGAATCTGGTAACGGTGTCCTTTGCTGTGCTTGCTATGAGATTTAAATGACATCATCTCTAAAGGACACCGTCTTGCTTAGCATGCAGTAGGTGCTCAATAGGTGTTCATCACCCCTCCCTCCTCCTCCCGCATTTGTGCTGCTTTTTCTGCTTTTCTCGGAGGCAGCTCAGAGCCCAGACTTGCATCAAGCTACTTGCCTTCAAATCCTGCCTCTACTTCTTACTGATTGTGTGACCTTTCTGTACCCGCTTCCTCATCTGTAAATTGGAGCTGATACAGTACCTACCTTCTAGACTTGTTAGGAGGATTAAACGGGGATTATTTACAAAGCACCAAGAACAGTACCTGGCCCACAGTAGGTGCTATATGTGTTTTAATTGGTGCTGTTATTACTGTTTTGACTAGAGAAGTGATGTGAGTAGCTTGCCTTGGATCACACAGAGAGTTAAAGACAGAGCTGTGGGTGCACCAGGACCTCCTGGCTCCCAGCATCCCCTCCATGAGGACCACCTACTTCCTGCCAGAGAAAACCAGGCTCCATTAGGGGACAAGCTCCAGGGCTTTCTAGGCAGGCCCTCTGCCTCTTCCAGGGCGGGAAATTGAAGGAGGGGAGGAGCCTTTGCTGTCTTTCCCTTGCCTCCCTGCTCCCTTGTCCTCCAGAGAAGCAACACGGGGCCCGGAGTGTTCTCCCTGTGACCTTGTCTAGCTGTGACAGTTGCAGACATTGTGCTGTCTGCCAGGTGAGCCTCCCCCTGTGGCCGCAGGGCTGATGAGGAGCACTCAGCCTCAGAGCATGCAGCAGAGGGGAGGAAGGAAATAAGATCAAAGTCCAGTGGTACCCTCTGTCCAGGCTCTTCCATGGTCCAGGGTCTGGGGCAACCTTGGTCTGAGGACTGAGGAGGAACTGCCTTGCTGGTGGGACGAGGGCCAAGGGATGCCAGAATACGCAGCAGCCAATCAGCAAAAGCCAAAACACAACAATGCAACAAACCAAAAAACCCAAGATGCCTAATTAGTGTTGAACTTCAGATAAATTACAAATATTACTTTAGTATAAGTAGGTCCCATGTAATGTTTGGGATATATACAAAACACTATTTATTTTTCTGAAATTTAACATTAACTGGGCTTCCTGTATTTTACTTGGCAACCCTAACATCCCACCTTAGGGGTGCCAGCTACCCTTGTAGTTTACAAGCGCTGTCTCTTTTAACACAACAGCCGTGCCTGGCAGATACCGTTACCTACAACTTACCCAACAAGAAACAAGGGAAGAGGTGTGCACAGGTCACATAATGGCTGAGATGAGCTTGAACTCAGGAGTGTTGAACTCACACCTAATTCTTTCTGATAGGCATAGAAAAGGAGAATGAGGCCAGGCACGGTGGCTCATGCCTGGAATCCTAGCACTTTGGGAGGCCTAGGCAGACAGATTCGAGGTCAGAAGTTTGAAACCAGCCTGGCCTATATGGTGAGACCCCCATCTCTACTAAAAAATACAAAAAAAAGGGCTGGGCACAGTGATTTACATCTGTAATCCTAGCACTTTGGGAGACCGAGGTGGGCAGATCACCTGAGGTCAGGAGTTCGATACCAGCCTGACCAACACAGAGAAACCCTGTCTCTACTAAAAGTATAAAAAATTAGTTGGGCATGGTGGTGCATGCCTGTAATCCCCGCAACTTAGGAGGCTGAGGCAGGAGAATCTCTTGAGCCTGAAAGGCAGAGGTTGCGGGGAGCCAAGATCGAGCCATTGCACTCCAGTCTAGGCAACAAGAGTGAAATTCCATCTTAAAAACCAAAATAGTTAGCAAGACAGGGTGGCAGGCACTTGGGAGACTGAGGCAGGAGAATTGCTCGAACCTGGGAAGCGGAGGTTGTAGTGAGCCAAGATTGTGCCACTGCACTCCAGCCTGGGTAACAGAGTGAGACTCTGTCTCAAAAAAAA